AGAGCGGTTTCAAGTTCCTTTCCTCTGCTTTACCACTAACTAAAGCTAGTAATTGTCTTTTGAGGGAGTACTTGAAGGACCTACTCTACTGCCACTGAACCAGAAAAGATGGGGCTACTGTGAAGATGTCTGAATGTTTGCATGACTTTGTCCATATTTACATATGAATGCATGTGTTCACTGTAATGACTGCTATTTGAACCACTGAAACCTCAGTTAAATTTACATTCTTTACCAAATGTAAATCATCCTGTTGATAATGGCCCTTCAACAGATACTGAGGTAATATTCCAGATCCATTTTCAGTATGAAAAATAGCTTGCACAGTTTTGTTAAATGAGGTTTTTCTTTAACCCATGGCAAACACTACCATTCCTTAATCATATTTTCCACTATCATAATTTATTCATCAACCACTTCCATCTATTTACGGGTAAATATTATTAAACATTAAAATAATACCTTTCTTTCTATGGATAGAGGGCATATTCTTCCCTCAGCCAGGGCCTCTTCTCCCTCCACCTCTACCCTCAGCCAGAGCCTCTTCCCCCATCTGCCAGCCTGGTATTTTCTCTCCCTCCCCACCTCCCACCATGCAGGTCCTGTCGCTGGCGCAACAGAGCAGCTGTTTTTAAAACACTGGCTGCCACCTTCCATATTGTAACCGCCAGAGCTTCAACCAGCCACTGTGAGGCATGGTTCAGGGAGCTGGGCTTCACCCCAATCCTGACACCCCAGTGGGGTGCAAGTCCTGCTATGGCTCCCTGACCCCTGCATGGATCCTGCTGTCCAAGCCCTGATCAGCAGTTTTTAAAGCAGTAGCTGCCCTCCATGTGGTGGCTGCCGGAACTTCAGCCACCCACTGAGCAGCAGCTCAGGGTCCCCCTCTCCGTGGTCCATGTACCCCAGGTCCCCCTCTCCATGGGTCTTGTTTCAGCTATGGGGAAATTTTGAACATAATCAAATCTGTAGCCATGGAGGAATGCATCTCGAAGTGATAGGACAATAAGAAACAAAGTAACCACACCACAGGCATCTCTGAAAAGTTAAGATAACATATGAAAGTGATTTTTTTGACTTTTTTTTTATTTCCTTAAACCTGTACACTGGTAATATTTGTAGCCTGCCTCACTTTGTTTGCTCTCTGTACATCTCTGTTACTCTTTAAATTCTGTTTAAACCGGTTTATTAGTATTAATTTGGTGCTGTTGAGGGGTCCCATTCTGTTGTACCAGGTACTGTGCAAACCAATTAAGATATGATACCTGCATCAGAGTTTCTCTAGCACAATCAGGAGTGCCTTTCATCCTTCATGAGTTCCTTTGTAATTAGGAACAAACCTGCCTTCTTTTCCAGTCTTTTTATAAAGGCTGTTGAACTTGAGCCCTGTTACTACCATTGCAGATTAAAATGTATCTGTTATGTCAAAACTGTATGGATAATCATAGTCAAATTTGCATTGCTATACGTGCCCTCTGAAGCCTGGTCTATACTAGACCAGGCAGGTTGGTTTAAGGTATGCCATTCAGCTTTACAAAATGTGTAGCTGGTTTCAGCTTATCTTAAGCCGAACTGCTGCAGTGTCTGTGTTGCAGGAGGCCAATGGGAGCACGTGTTCCCATTGGCTTCCCTTACTCCTCACAGAATGAAGAGAAAAGGTCATCAGTGGGAGCTGCCCGTAGCATTTGATTTGGGGGTCTACACTAGACCCACTAAATCGAACACTAGAAGAATGACCTCTGGAGAGTCGATCTTCTCCATAGTGTAGACTTGTCCTGATTGTGAAGGAATCTTTCCTATACTGTGATGGAATAGGAAATTGTACTCCTTATAATAAATATCCATGATTACCTAGTTTCTTGGTAATCTAATATTTTAGTTAAACTGAAAACAGATTGGTTGGTAGAAACAGAAATATATTTGCAAGTGAAGTATTATACCTGTTTATTTAGTGGTTCAGTTCTCTTAGTTTACCAACATGTGTCAAAGTTCTATCAGCAAAACAGAAATATGTGGATTTGCAGAAGATAAGTTTAATCAGAACTTTCCTTGCAGCCAAGATACTGTCTTTGTCTTGTAAATCAGAGTACTTACAAATGTTGTATTGGTTACCTTTTTCTTTTTCTTTTTGGTTTCTCTAATCTTTAATATTTAGTAAACTATTATGTCAAAGCATAGTGTTTTATTGCATACTGCTGTTTTATTTAAAAGATCAAAGCTTTTCATTTTGATTAACTGTGAAGGCTCTATGTTCAGAACTAATAGGTATATTAAAGTATTGCCAAGATTAATGTGGGGATGACTCTGTGCCTATTTTCAGAATTGCAGGGGGGCGAATTCTATCAACAATCAAGATGCACTTGATAAAAGGACGAAACAGTGGGGATCCATTTTGTCAAGCAGCAGAGGAAGTTTTACAAGATTTGGATTTGAGGATTAAAAATATTATCAATTCTCAACATGAAGCTATGACTGCTAGTACCACTGGAATCAGTCCAGCTCGGGTAACAGGTCTCCTTTTGTTCTCCTACTATATAGCTTTACAAGAAAGTCAATGCATTTTTTAATAGCTTGAAATATATAAGCTTTTCTCAATAATAAGAATAGTGTCATTTCCGGTGTAGCATAGTGCACTTAAATTTGTTGAAAGACTCTTTAAGGCCTTTAGGATTATAGTGCAGGATTCAAAAAGTCATTATACTTCAACTAAAATATTCTTGCATTAAAATTATGAATCTCTATTAAAATAACTTTTTTAACATATAATTTATTCCTATTCATAACATTTTTGTAAAATATTAAATATTAGTAAAATAACTCTTGTCCGCTATTGATACAAATACAATTACATTTTAATTTAAATTTCCAGATAAAATTTTGTTAAGATGAAGTTAAGGTTGAGAATATAGATGAGTAATTAGGATAACATATATTGATGACATAGTTATGCCCAAGTCAATGGATATAAACTCAGGGCATTCTAAAATTTGAATTAAATCCAAACCTATACATCAATGCATACACAAACAACCTTAACTGTGTTCTGTAGATACCATGCAATAACCATATGACAGTGATTACTGTTTGTGGTCCCAGATTATATTAAAGTGATTTAAACTGACATGTAAAGGCTCATTAAATGTTTCTCTTTGTCTCCCTATCCCCCTTCTCATTTTAAAAAAAAGTATTACAGTGCAGAGTTCAGGTTATTTGGATTGTAGAAGCAACGTGCTTTCCATAATTTAAAATGTTTGGATTTCTTTTAAATGTGATAATAACTCTGAATTTTCTTTGGTTATAATGCTTTGTTTTGGGATCTCTTAATATGCAGTGTACTTGCAGAGCATTAATAAGTAATTGGTGTGTTGATCCCAGGATATTAGATGGACAAGATGGGTGAGGTAGTATCTTTTATTGGACTAACTTCTGTTGGTGAGATAAATAAGCTTTTCAGTCACACAGAGCTCTTCTTTGTTACCCATCTTATCTCTTTGACATCTTTTACTGTAGATTACTAATATGTATGCTCCAATCTTAACTTCAACTTCTCTTCAGTTTTGTCTAAGAGTTTTCTTTGTTCTGTGTTCCAGTATGAAAGTTGAATTTAAAAAGACAGAATGCTATTCTTTGATATTCCTAATGATTTGAAGGGTTCACTTAAATTATTTTCTATATTTTAACTTTGACGGTCCATAATGACCAATTGGACTGGCTGCTTTATGCCAGTATGAAGCAGGACAAAGCAGTTACAGTGTATATCCCATTTATCTCCCCTCTCCTGTCCACATTTCCCTTTCTTGCCCCACATTGCATTACCCAGTGCTGTTTCTCTTTCACTCTTCTCCTTACCTACACATCTTACTTCTCTCACCCACTAACTCTCGGTATGTGGACACTTACTTCCTCTGTCCTACCCTCTGAATGGATCTGGTACAACTGGTAGCTTTTGAAAATAAATATTTTGGATTAATAATCACTCTTGTTTTTTTTTAATAACTGAAAGCTTTTCTGACAGCTGAGATTTTTGCATGCAATCTTCTTATTCAGAAAAACTGTCAACTGTTATATCAAAATGGCTGCTATCCCTTGTTGTTCTCAATGGAACACAGAACATGGGCTGATTTCCCCTATCAACATGGCCACCATTTAAGCTAAGGAAAATGTTGGCATCCTGTATTGTAGGGAGGTGGAGAGGAATACTTGGACCCATTGAGAAGAATGGGGAATAGATACCTGGGTACCTGCGAGCAGCATATATTGTAAGTCCTTTGAGAACAGTGGGGGATTCAGCAATATTCAAAGAGTGTGGTTTTTGGTGAGACTCTCTGTAGAAGAATATTATTCTTTAGTGTCTGCTGGTAAAAAGTACAGTTGTCAAAAATAATAGGTGTAAAATAGCCATTTGTTCTTTAAATAAATCAAAAATAGACTGTTCTTATTCATTCAATGAGGCTTTTTGACTACAGGCAGTCCCCGAGTTACGCGGATCCGACTTATGTCGGATCCGCAGTTACGAACGGGGCACTTCCTCTCCCTGGTCTCGAGCAGACCAGGGAGAGGAAGCAAAGCGGCGGCGGAACGCGCGGCCAGCTGACAGCCCAGACGCGTCTGGGCTGTCCCGCTGCCCCCGTGCTCCGCGGCTTTGCTCCGGCCGCCTGTGGTACAGCAGCTGGGGCGCTGCCGGTTGGTCCCGTAGCACCGCTCTGGGTGCCACTGGACCAACCCAGCAGCACCCCAGCTGCTCTGCCCCAGGTGTCCCCTAGTCAGCAGCTGCTGAAAATAACAAGTGGCTG